TCCAGCTAAATAACTGGAATAGAGAGCCAAAAGTAAGGAGAATCTCTCAGGAGACTCTTCCCTCTACCCTTATCCAAAGTATTCTTGAACACATTAATGTACTGTAGGTGGAGCTGTGAATTGGTCCAGCCATTCTGGAAAGCGTTTTGGAACTGTGCCTAAAATGTTACTAAGCTGACCAAATGATATGGCTACTAGCCTTATACTCAAAGAAAGAGGAAAAAGAACCATATGTACAAAAATATTCATAGCAGCTCTTTTTGTGTGTGGTAGCAAAGTATTGGAAACCAAGGGGATGTTCATCAATTGGGAAAACCTGAAAAAATTATGGTATATTAAAATAATGAAATTCTGTTATGCTATAAGAAATGATAAAGGGGATAGTTTCAGAGAAACCTGGAAAGACTTGTATGAATTGATGTAGAGTGAAGTGAGTAGAACCAGGAAAAACATTTGTATATTAACAATGAAACTGAAGACAACTTTAAAAGACTTTTTTGAAGTGTGCTCAATGCAATATCACTCACCATGATTCCAGAGGTTGGTCGTACCTATCTCTTGACAGAGAGGAGATACCCTGATGGTACAGAATGAGGCATATATATTTTTTTGGACATGGCCAACATGGGAATTTGTGTTGATTCACTGCATATTTGTTTAAAAGGTTTTCTTTTCCTTCTTTTTCCCCTTGAGTAGCGTAAGGGGCGGGGGAAGAAGAGAGAAAGAAAATAGACTTTTATTCTTGAAGAAAATTAATTTAATTTTTAAAAGAAACAAAACAGAAAACACCAAAGTAAGTCCGAGAAAGTCCTTTGACTTTTACCTGTGCACTATGGACTTCTGATCGACTCCTGTGGGGAAATAAGTTGGATGAGAAAGTGTTGGCTTCCTCTCCAGGGCTAATGAGTTTGTTCCTTCTTTTGTCTTCCAAACTCTTCAGGTAGTAGCTGAGTATCTTCCATGTGGATACATTTCCAAGATGATATTCCTAATGCACAGGTCTGACTGTTCTACTTTGCTACTCAAAAAGCACCAGTGACTCCCTATTGCCTCTAGGATAAAAAATGCATACTTCCTAGTTTGGCATTTAAAGACTTGACCATCTGGCTGTAGCCTAACCTTTCTGTTTCTATTATACACATCCCTACTTCATGTAGTCTCCATTCTAACCAGATAGATTTGCTTGCTGTTTCTCAAACACGACCCTCCATCTCCTGTTCTCATGACTGTGGATGCTTAGAATGCACTCCCTCCTTACTTCTGTCTAGCTTTCTTCAAAGATCAGTTCAAGCATCACATCTAACATAAGGTCTTTTTCTGATCCCCCAAACATGGTGCCACCACTTGAAATTACTTTGAATATAGTTTTTATTTATTCATATGTATACTTGTTTCCTGAGTTAGAATGTAAACTCCTTGAAGGCAGAGAATGTTTATTTTTTTTAATCCCCATCATCTGGCGCAGTGCCTGGCACATATTAGGTGCTTAATTGATACCTGTTGATTGATTAATAAATGTTTGTTGACTTGTTGAATATAAATGTCTCCTTCTGGTCATTTCTTCTTGTTCTGTCTTTCAGGAAGATCATTGTCTTTCATATTGTACTTCATTATCTATTTGAGGATATTCATTGTTACTCTCAGCCTTCCCCTCTTTGGGGCTAATAGTTCCCCTCCACATTTTGCACGTTTATTAGTTCTCTCTGAATTCTGAGATTGGATGATAACTCAGATGGCTTTGGTTATCTCATCCAGTCCTTCAGCGTCAGAGCTATCGGAATAAAACAGGCGCAGCTTCTTTGAACAGTCTCTGACCACTTTGTTGTCTATCTCAACCTGTTTTCTTGATCTCTCATACTGTGTTGCCTGCTCTGATGTTCAGATAAGCCTGGGGTGAAGAAAACAACACTGACAGCTCATGCCATTTTGATGTCTTCTGTTATTAAGCTATCCTCTTTCATTTGACAAAAGAACATTATTTCTCTTTGTCCTCTTTTTGCATTTACTATATTTTAAAGAATGGTTTGTAAGCTTGTGTCTAAGTTCAGGGACTAACATGTCAGGAAAGTAGGGATTTCTGTCATCCATGTATTTTCTTCCCTCTCTCCTGATGGACTATTTACTACAATGTGTGAGAGTCAAGCTATAAGTGAAATGATAAAGTAGGGAAATAGAAACTTTTGAAATCTCATAAATTTAAGAACAACTGCAGAACAATATAACTATTGCGTCTCAAATTTTGAATTGGATAACTATTGATTATATATTTTTCTGTTTTATATATTATATATATGTTCTGTTTTGTGTGAATTTTCCCCCTAAACATATATATATGTATACATATATATACATATATATGTATACATATATATATGTACATACATATATATATATATATATATATATATATATATTCTGTTTTATTGTGTGAAATTTTTTCCCCTAAAGCATAAATTCACTTGGGAGGGCAGTGGGGTGGGAGATCTGTAACAGGGATATTGAAAAAAGCACAGCACTAAGAGTCCAGAAGGTCTGAGTTCTAGTCCTGTTTATGCTTCCTACTGATGTGACCACAGGAAAGACATAATCTCTCTGAGACCTAGTTCAAAATAGGGATGATAATAATACCTGTTTTTTCTATACAATATGTTGTACCAAATGAAATAATGTATATGAAAGCACATTGCAAATCCTAGAGTGCTAGATACATGTAAGGAATTATTATTATAGTTTGAGAGGTTGTATACTAGTCTTGCACATGCCTTAGTTTGGTTCTGTATCCATGTATGTTAAACTAGTTTGATAGGCAGGAATGTTCCTTAGGCTAGTGCATGTGTATTGAGCTGCATTGGGTTGGACCGAGGACCTAGGCTATAGCCACTCTTGAATTTTTGGCTAATAATGATGATCAAGAAAGGTCTACAGTGGGAGCTCTGATCTCTTCTGGGTTGGGTTGGTAGAGGAAGAAGCCCATCAAAAACATAGTTTTCCTTTTTTTTGCTGTGGATTCTTTACATTTCTACAGTTGAGGTTGGGACACACTGGACCCCTCAGGACTAGTTTAAACTTGTTTAGTTTCCTTGGTATACTCCAGAGGGTTCTTTAGCTTGCTGAGTTTTTGAGCTATGAGAGTATGGAAGAGGTAGCAGAGAAAAGCTTTTTCATCTTAACAGATGGTGAAGGATTAGAATTAGTATTAGAATCCTAAAAGGATTAAGAAAGTAAGCAGAAGTACCAGCTGAGTGGGACACTTAGATGATCCAAGAGGTAAAGGGAGATTTCATGGTCATGGAGTTTGGGAACATCATGTGTTCAAGGAGGCTAATGATCTCAGGCAGTAAATAGAAAGCTGGAGCTGTCACTTAAAAACATATTGACTCTTCTCCCTCACTCCATATTTTTATTTTCCAATAGTACTCACCCCATAGAACCCTTTCTAAGTTTACGTTTTGTGACTGTAGCCCACTGTCTCCCTATTAAGAAGAAGAAAATACATTTCATCTTAACCCTATGCAACCAAGATTAGGCATCATATGGATTGATTCTAATGTCTTTTAGTCTTATTTTCCTTTATATTATTCTAGTCATCATATATATAAAATATACATCTATACATACATATTCAGATACTTCTTTCTTCATTTTCTATCAGTTCAAACAGGTCTTCCCAAGTCTCTCTGTATTTATCATATTTGTCATTCCTTTATGAGGCATTACACAATTACATGATTACAACACAATTTGTTCAGCCATTTCCCACTAGGTGGAAATCCACTTTGTTTCTAGTTTTTTCTGTTTAACTATCATAAACAACCTCTTATTTTTCTGTCTCCATCACAGTCCTTAAAAGGGACTGGTGCTAGCATTGGAAACATTGATATCCTTTGAAGATCAAAATCTAGGGGAGGGCCACAAAGAACACGCGAACAACATGGACTGAGGGAGCTGGATTTTATGATGACATTTTCCTTATTGCCAAGGATTAGTCCAAGCAGCAGCATTTTTGGTCATGGTCAGCTACATCCCATCCCCCCTAGTACCGCCCCCCTGCAAAAAAAAAACCAAACCAACAACCCTTCCCTGCAACTCATTTAAAGTCAATGAAGCTGTGGAATGATTTATGGTAATGCAGAAATCTGGGGAGCAGAATTAAAATCACTTTAAACAGACCTACGATGATAAGATCTTTGATTTAGAACTGGAAGTAACATTAGAAGTCATTTTGTCCAATCCCTGTATCTTAGAAATGAGGAATCTGAAGCCCAAAGACACAGTTCTTCTTTGTTGTTCTCCCTTTCAAGCACTGCCCATCACAGAAATGTAGTCATCTATTTTGTTTTGGTTCAGTCATTTTTCGATCATGTGTAACTCTTCGTGACCCCATTTGGGGTTTTCTTGGGAAAGATAGTGGAGTGGGTTGCCATTTCCCTCTCCAGCTCATTTTATAAATGAGGAATTGAGGCAAAGAAGGTTAAGTGACTTGCTCAGAGTCACACAGCTAGTAAGTATCTGAGGCTGTATTTGAACTCGGAAAGAGAAGTCTTCCTGAATATCTACTGTGACACCTAACTGCCCAGCTAATAACTCCCACCTCTTTATCACAAAAGCTTGACCTAATTTGAAAATTCCGATGGTATTTTGAGATATATCTTCTCCATTTTGAAATTAAATGCTGAAGAGAGTCATTTTTGTGAAAATAGAATAATAAATAATATATTACTGTATCATCCCTCCCCACCTTTATATGCTGTTAATCTTAAAATCTTTTAGGACATCTAATCTTAAGATCTTTTAGGATGTAGAGCTGTTTGCAGTGATTTATTATAACATATTCCCAAGTCGAACAAAACAGCAAATCAAACCCATTAAATATGGAAAAAGATTATTGGAAAAGGTTTTCATTGATCATACAACCCATAAAGAAAGACTGCTCCCTAATTCCCTTCTATCCTCTTGCAATGAAGCACAGGTGATTAATATTACATCTGCCTTCTGTTTAGGACCGAAGATTCAATGATGAAATTGACAAACTGACTGGATACAAGACAAAGTCATTGTTGTGTATGCCGATCAGAAACAGTGATGGGGAGATCATTGGTGTAGCACAAGCAATAAACAAAACTCCTGAGGGTGTTCCCTTCACTGATGATGACGAAAAGGTAAGACTGCACGCCTCTCCTGGGACTTACAGTACTGCATTATTACTCTTCACATAGTGAGAAGATCATTGATAATTGTCTTGAATGGAAAAGAACCGTGATTATAGGATTTCCTTATTCAAAGATGAATGATCTTTGGATCATCTCATGATAAATGAATGATTTTTTTTCCCCTGGATAGTATATTGTTGCATCAATATGGTGGAAAAGAATCATGTATACTGTGTTTTTTGGTTATACTTTGTCTATCAAAATGATCATAGGATCATATTCATAGATCTAGAGGGACCTTCAAGGTTGTTGTTCAGTCATTTTTCAGTCATGTCTGACTCTTCATGACCCCATTTGGGGTTTTCTTGGCAAAGATACTGGAGTAGTTTGCCATTTTCTTCTCTAGCTCATTTTATAGAGGAGGAAACTGATGCAAACAGGGTTAAGTGACTTGTCCAGGGTCACATAGGTAGTATCTGAGGCCATATTTGAACTCAGGTCTTCCTGACTTCATCCCCCAGGACCCTTTCCCTGCTCTATCCACTGTACCACCTAATTCAACTCTCTTTTACAGTGAGGAAACTGAGACTCAGAGGGATTTACCTAAAGTCATATAGATAATAAGTTGCAGAGCCATGATATGAACCCAATTCCTCTAATGCAAAATACACTTCTCTTTCCAAAGACAATTGGGTGAGTCAGTAATCATAGATTCAAGCCTCTGCTCTACTTATACTAGCTTTGTAACATCATGCAGGTTATTTAACCTCTCATTTTTTCCTCATCTGCAAATGTAGATAGTATATGAAATACTTTGTTGTGAGGAGCAATATAATAATATATCTAGGTCACATTTATATATAGCTTCAGATTTACAAAGCACTTTGCTCACAACAACCTGCAAGATAGGTAAAGTATTTTGTCATTATATATATAAACATATGATACCTGAAAGTCCCCATGTGCCTACTTTTGGCTACTTCCAAGTCCATGATAATCAAGGGGTAATCATCCATTTGATTCATAGCTCATGAGCCTCTATTTCCATGAAATCTCCCTTGACTAAGCAAGAATAAATCATGTGACGTAACAGCAAAGCAAAGGACATTTTCTCAAAATAGGAGGAGAGGCAAATAGCAAGAAATTAAATTAAGCAGTGAGCTCTCTCACCATCCATTTTCCAAAGCCGCCACCTGCCCACATGTATCTCCTGGGGAGCACTGGTCTGTGCTCCTACTTAGCCATCTCAGGTTTATTATCCTGCCATCTTCACAGAACAATAGGAACATCATACATCAGTTGCTCTTGACAGGATGTTGGGGGAGCATCCATGGCAGCAGCATCATGCTGGTGTTCTCAGCAGGGCTCTGTAAGCTAAAGGTACAAATAGGGGGTGGGGTATTAGAATGCCCAGGAGGCAGGGAGTATTTTTGAGAGGGTTGTTGCTTCCCAACATGACAACTGAGTGAACAGGACTTCAGGACCAAGCTCTGTCCATGATTTTTTTCGTGTCTTCCCTCTCCAGCTCTGTCACCTGGACTATAATCCATGTCTAATTCCCTGGACATTATTCTAGTCTCTTGAAAATCTGAAGTGTGCCTAGGCAATCAGAATCTGGACTGGCATAGTGTTGCCATTTTGCAAAGTCCAAACATAGCCTTGAGGGGGATGTAGTCCTATGATATTCCTGATGAGAAGGGTTCTCCTTTACCCCCCAGGCTTCCCATGTGGGAAGCTGGAGGTCCTATAGAAAGACTACTAAAAATATAAGCTATTATCATAATGCAACTGATGGTACAGTAAATGGAACATTAGAGCTGGAGCCTGAGTTCAACTCTCTGGGCATGTCACGACCTCTGTTTGCCTCTATTTCTTCCTCTGTAAAATGGGGATAATAATAGCATCTAACTCAAAGGGTTGCTGTGAAAATTAAATGAGATAATAATTGTAAAAAAAAAGCACTTAGGACAGTGCCTAGTACATAGTAGGCTCTTTGTAAATATTTATGAGCTTTCCTCCTTTCCCCTTATTATAATGTGTGTAAAATGTTATGGTACCATAAAGTGATAGAAATGTGAACTGTTACTGTAATATATTGTAGGGTGATTCATAAGCATAAAATGTCATATAAATATATTATCATCACAAACATCATCATCATTATTCCTATTATTACATGGACTTTTTCTCAGAATAAGCAGGCTTTTTTATTAAGGATCTTAATGCTATCAACAGTTGCCCAAGAGATAGAAAGAGGTTACTGCATTTTAGCCATTCAGCACTTTTTATTAGACTTTCATAACTACTTGAAAGAGTTTTCTCAGTTGTTACATAAAAATCCCAGAATGATGATGCTATTTGATTGTTATTCCCAACTGCTGATGAAGAGAGCATCACTCTGGTCCCTGGAGAACAGCGGATCTTCCTAGTAGTAATGCATTTCTTGACCTCAAGTCTAAGAGGTGTCACCAGTTCATTCACCAGCTCGTATTAAAAGTCAAAAATTGTTTGGGAACCAAAGCTCCTGCTTTAAATCTTTCCCTTTGATTTTTAAAGAATACTTACAGAGATTTATATAACTGTAGTGAAGAAATGGGCCCTCCATGCTCAGAGAGGCCCATGTGTTGTGAGGCCAGTCACTCGGTGGGTCTAAGGGAAGAAGAATAAGTTATCTCTTGCTTCTTCTCCCTCCACCCTTCTCCAAGGGAGACTTTTCATTCCTGCCAGGAGGGGAAGTAGGAGTTTGAAGTCATCTCTCTTCAGAAAGAGTGAGTATCAGTTTAGAAGTATATCTCTTTGCTCCCTTAAATATTGTCAGTCTAGGGGTTATGACTGGGTTCAAGCTAACTTCCTATCACTTTGTCATTTTGTGGGGAAAGGAGGATCCCCAACTCTATATCCAAAACTTGACCCCTTTCCCACCAAATGCCAGTTCCACAGTGGACACACATAGCAAATACCAAAGAAACCCATTTATCCAAATCAAAGCAAAACAGAAATCAGAGAAAGTATATATGGGAGAATATATACCAGACAATACAGAGTGAAGGAGCTCTCCCATTAGGAGCAAGATAACTCAGCTCAGTCATGAGAGAGACTCTTGGATCTCATCCAAGAGGAAACTCATCACAATCTGTAATGTAGTAAGCTGGGAACAGGGACATAATGGAGATTGCTGGTTCCTCTCATGTCTTCCTAGTCTTTTCCCTCAGTAACCTGAAGTAGGGTTGGCCTGATCTTCTCTCTTAAAGCTAGAAGCCAGAAGTGTCTGAGGCAATTCAGCTTGAAGTTTGGTGAGTCCTAAAAGGGACTGGTGAAGTTTGGAGGTCTCTTGCTTCTTACCAACTCTACCCCACCCCTCGCACAGAGCAGGGCATTCATCCCCACCAAAAAAGGAGAGAGCCCTGTACTAACAGGCTTTTGGGGCAGGGGTTATGTAAGACATTTTATAGCAAGCAGATTTCAAATTACATTTGTTTAAGTTTAAATTGTAATAAGTGCTGTTCCCATCTTTGATAGTGCCACACTTCCTAACTTACCTTTCTGGCTACAGGGCTGCTATTTTGCTGTGCTAATTTGTAGAGCAGAAGACCTACTGGCAGGAGGCAAAAGGATTAAAAGGTTGTCATAAAGTATGATTAGAGTGTAACACAAAGAACTTTTCAAGTGAAGAAGGACACTGCCACAGGTCATTAGTAGAAAGAAGTATTCATAGCCATCCAGATCTAATCCAAATAGCAGAGATGCTATGAAAAGCTCCAAGAACAACTAAGAAGTCATTAGACTTCAGGGCATTTGTTAAGAATAACTAAAAAACTGTTGGACTTCAGGGCATTTGTTAACAAGTAGCTTAGCTTAGTAAAAGCAGTTATTTCAAGAGAATCATGTGACAAAGAGTAGGCAAATCTAGGTCATCTTGTTAGACAAAAACCCTCCTGTGGGGACATGTATCTAAAGGATGTGTGCTTAAATCAATCATTCAGTCAAAAAGTACTTGTTACAGGTAGCCAGACACTGTGATAGGTGCTGAGGATACAATTACAAAGAATGAAACAATTCTATGGAGTCAGGAGCACCTGAGTTCAAATCTAGCTTCAGACACTTACACTAGCTGTGTAACCTTGGGCAAGTCACCTAATCTTGCTTGCCTCAAAAAAAAAAAAAGAAAAAAAGAAAGAATAATACCATTTTAAAACATAGATCTGGGAAGAGTCAGAGGCCAAAGCCAACACAACTGATGATCATCCCAAGTCTAAGGTGTGCTTCATTGGAAACATCATGACCCTGGTGATGGACTAACCAGGCCCACCCCAAGGGCTCTGCTTGAATGGCAGGCCATATGAGAGACTCTCTGAAGCACTATCAGATCTAAAGTTAATTTTCCTTTGACCTAAATTTTTATTATATCATAGTAGGAACAGTAGAAGTCTCGTAACATAGCTTGTTTATGATTTCATGGCTTCAGTTATAATCTGAGTAAATCATGTCTCATAAAATGTAATAGCTGTATTAGCAAAAGCTTAATATGGTTAGTTAATGTATAGCATAGATTATTCTGTCTCTGTTCATAGATGTGCTAGTGTATTTCATGAGAGTTTTAATGATATGGTTTTCTTCAGTTCTACCCAACTCACATAGCAATTACTTGGTCTGTCTTCAGTCTGGTTCTAGTCTAATTTTCTAACTTCATTGCACATTATTCCCTTTCTCATATTCTATTGTCTGTCTAAATGAACTTAGGCTGTTATCCAAATTCAATATTCAATCTTCTACTCTTGCCCCATTTTTGGAATCTCTCCTCAACCAAAACCTTTAAAATCCTTTGTTTCTTTTAGTCCTTTCCTTTTTTTAAAAACAAAATTTTCTCAATAATATGCTAGCTAGCATTCATACAGCACTTTAAGATTTGCGAATGTTATCTCATCTTGTCCTAACAACAATCCTGGTGATGAGGGTGGGGCCCAAGCCAAGATCTTCACCCTTTGTCTCAAAGGGAATCTGACTCACAG